AAAACAAGCGCTCAGCCCCGTGAAAATAAGAACAAAACAGCAGACCCGGGATTTCAGATGAATCATTTCCAACGTTAAGAATTATGGAGTTTCACCTGACCATACTATCCTCATTGCAGACGATCGCAGCTGGAAGACTTCTGGTCTGTTGGGAAGGGGCTGGAAAGCAGGATATGGCAGTTGGGAAGTGTCATCGGTGAAGGACAGAGAGGAAGAACTGAGGAGGAACTTCTTTATTGTGAGGGTGCCAGAGCCCTGGCACAGGCTGCCCAGGGACTTTGTGGAGTCTCCTTCTCTGGAGGTCTTCAAAACCCACGTGGATGCCGCCCTGTGCTCAGGGTGTCCCTGCTTGAGCAGGAAGGTTGGACTAGATGATCTCTAGAGGTCCCTTCTAACCTTGACCATTTTGTGAAGGAGTTGTTGCCATCCATGTCTTGAAGATGATGGGTCTCTGCTGTGCCAGGGAAGAGTTTGAGCACTGAGGTGGCTCTCTGGGGCCTCTGCCTCTTTCCGTGAAGGTGCTGGGGCTCCAGAGGAGCTAGTTCTATGACCACCACTCAGTTCCTTTCTGTATGTCACTTAGTAGGTTGGGTTGTCCCCTCCAGGGATGGAGATTCTTGTAATCAGCAGCCTCTCATCACCAATGTTTGATATCAAAACGCTGAAACTTAAAAAAATCCCCAAGGAATGACAATAAAAATGAAAAAGATCTCTCCAGGGATCCTGTTAGTCACTTGGCAGAGCAGTGTGGTGGACTTCAGCTTTCCAGGATGAAAACTGGGTCTGCGTATTCTCTTCAATTGTATATTGAACAAAGTGGGACAGTCTAGGAGGCTGAGGAGTGGTCTTGAAGACGGAGGTGGTGCAGGAAAGACGACGGTGGCTTCTGGGCTGCTGTGTCCTTCCTACATCCCATGCAGTGGTTGATGCAGATGTTGCTTCTCAGTTCATCTCTTGTGCTTACCTTCCGTTTCAAGGGCAAGTCAAGGCTGTGTTGGGACCCCCTAGATTGTGTCTCACTTGAGTGCTCCATCTGTGAGCTCAGCTTAACTACCAAAATTTGAGGTGCTTTGTGTTAAATATCTCTTGGTTGTGATTCTTGACTAGAATAGCTCTTGGACAGACAGACTATGATCTCTGAGGAGCACAGAGGAGAGGAGGCTGGGGCTGATGTGTGCCCAGCAAGCTGGAAGAGCTGAAGAGCTGAACTACATGGGGTTTTGGTGACCATCAGTGAGCCTTTCCAGAGGGCGAAAATCCTTCCAGTCATAATCATGCCTTAAAATATGTCTAACTTGAGTTAGTCATCGATGATCTAGCAATGTTTAGTAGAAGGGGAGAGGTGCGTTCAGGGGATGGTGCTTGTTTTCCTGGGTGCCTTTGTGAAGAGGTGTCTTCTGCTTCTTCCATCCCACATTGATGTTGCTCCTCACCGCTCTATGCTCAGCTCCTGGGGTGGTGTTTCTTAGAGCTTCGCAGCTTTCCAAATCTCAGGTTTACCTCTGTGACCAACAACTCTCTTAAGCTCCCTCCTAACCAGCATCCCCGAGCATGTGTTGGAAACTCTCACAGTCTCCTTTCCACCTCTTGCTAGGGTTCGAGGGGCTCAGTGCCACAGCACGTGGCTCAACGGTGCTTCAGGGTCTCAGGTTCTTACAGCAGGAACCAAATTATGTTTTTCTGTTTGCCATTTTCTTCCCCACCGTCCTCCTTTTCCAGAGACTGCACCCACAAGAGTTTGCTTTGGCACAAGATCAACTCTCAGTTGAAGTCCTTGCCACCAAAGATGATGATTTTGCGCTTTTTGATTGAACAGGAGAGAGTTTCCTTTAGTGAGTCGAGTTCAGCATGGCAATTAACTACTCTTACCTTGTCTAGTCCGGAATGAGCCCGGTTCTTGTCCCCGGACTCTCAAAGACTTTGCTCTTGTCTTGCTCTTTGAGCGCCAGGCAGAAAACCCTGCAGAATGGGATCCTGTGGCACTGAGGACCATGGCAAGACGTTCTCTTCACCCATCTGCAGTGGGTGAAGGCATCTCTCTGCTCAAGTGACTGGTTCCTTGAGGTTATGTCCTTCTTCCACCCGTTCTGCATGTCTTTGGGTATTTAACTTGAGGATACGCTTTCAAAATTTTGAATTTAAATGTACATTTCAAGGCTTACAGAACCCAACCATGCAGGCTGCAGGTAGAAACTCACTGCTGCTGTGCTTGACATTACCAAAACATGTGACATTAAGTCCCTTCAGACGCCTCGCATCAGAACTTGGATCTTTACAGCCCCGCTTCACACAGAGTCTAAGGTTGCCTTGGGCTGCCAAGTTGCTTTGATGATGCGACCTTTGTGGTGGCAGGGTCTCTACTGCCATTCCAACCCACTCTCCTTTCAGATCCATCACATTGCTTCATCCCTGGACTGACATATCTTCTAAATAGACCAGCTGGTCCTAGAGCGTCAACTTCTTTTTGGCATTTGGGAGTATCCAGATGCTGCCCTTGTTTGATCTCGAAGGAGAGGAAGATATAAAAGCAAAGCAGAACCAGACACTGATGCTCCCAATTCCCCGAGCACTGCTTGGCCTGGGTGTCCAGCATCTTGCTGGATCTTGGTGACCACTTTCCAGAGCTCGGAGGCATCTCAACTTCTCCACGTCCCACCTCGTGGCCTCCTTCCGCCAAGGCCTTTATAATGGTGCAACTCTGCTGTCACCTTCAATATACGCCCAAAATTCTGATGCTGATGCTGATCTACTCTCTCTGTTGAGGGCAAGATGTCTATGTCAGATGCTACGTGGTTTTTAGCCTCTCTGAAGCTGCACAGTTGTAGACCTAGCCCAACCCTCGCCCCTTTTTCCCTATAAAATAACATTTCCTCTGCTGAAAGATCAGGACTTGTGATATCTCCTGTCGATCACCGGATATCTCCTGTCGATCCCCGGAGCCTCCCAGCTGAAATGCCACCACTAAGATGATCTGACCTGACATTGGGGTGGTCCTCTCAGGTGCCACTGGTCTTCTCAGAGCTCTAATCCTTCCTAGCCTTTGATGCGTGGTCCCTGTTTCACCATGGAAGATCTCTCACGGGTCTTCTCCTCGCCTGGCCGCTCTGGTGTCCTCTCACCCCTTGCCAGGGAGGGAGGTGGTGGTGGCAACCACGAGGAAGGGAGGTGACCCCGGAGCGGGTTTTGGGACCTCGGGTGTGTTTTTGGAGCACCATAAGCAGGAAACCATAGGATGGATCCTAGGAAAAACATCACCAGGGCGAAGCAGCCACCGGTCCCAGCTGCATTGTCACCAGCTCCCGTTGGGAAGCCTTGGTCACCGTGTCTGTCACCACTGCTCGCCAGGTAGGAGCAGGTCTGGGCAGGGCCACGCTGCACCCCGGGGCTCCCCAACAGCCCTCGACTTATTTGCGGATACGGATTTTTTTGTTATTTTTTTTTCCAGGAGACTTGAAAAGTTTTCTTGTCTAATGGATTTCCTGCTTTTAATACAATTGAAAGGGGCTGAAAGCCACGCTTTAGATTAACATATGCCAGCTAGATTAGGGCTAATCAGGGCGCAGGTCCGAACAGATGCAGCACGGGGCCAATCCTGGCCCTGATTACGGCCTCTCAGAGGTTTAATCGTCTCTCTCCCAAGGGCGATCATCTCTGCTCTAATGCCTGGCAGCCTTTCCCGGCCTCCCCCGGCTCCTGCTTTGCTCCGGGGCCGCTCCTGCCAGGAAGGCTGCCACGTCACGCGCTGAGGCGATTTAGCTTAATCCTGCGCCGAAAGGGATCCCGGGGAACGGGCGCTGCTCTGCGTTGGCCAAGCCTTGGGTGCTGTGAGCGCCTCCCCATCTCCTGAGCACCCTTCCTCCGGCAGCCCCATCCTCTGTCCCACCTAATCCTTGCTTGGGCCCATCCCGGAGGGATCAGACTTCTAGCCTTGCGTGCTCCATGGTCCCCTGGGGTGACGCTGCTCTTTGGGGTGGCCCAGGGAGCAAAGACCCACCTTGGAGAGCCGGACGGGCAACCAAAGTGCCTCGTAGGGCTCGTGGGCTTGTTGGCCTTGATTAGGGGCTTGGGTGGACCCTTCTTGTTGGCCTTGAGTGGACCCTTCTTGTTCGCCTTGAGCAGGGACTTGAGTGGACCCCACTTATTGGCCTTGAGTAAGGGCTTTGGGTGGACCCCACTTATTGGGCTTGAGCAGGGACTTGAGTGGACCCCACCTATTGGCCTTGAGTAAGGGCTTTGGGTGGACCCCTCTTGTTGGCCTTGAGCAGGGACTTCGGTGGACTTCTCTTGTTGGCCTTGAGTACGGACTTGGTTGGACCCTTCTTGTTGGCCCTGAGTAGGGGCTTGAATGGACCCCACTTATTGGCCTTGAGTAAGGGCTTTGGGTGGACCTCTCTTGTTGGCCTCAAGCAGGGTCTTGGGTGGACCCCTCTTTTTGGCCTTGAGTAGGGGCTTGGATGGACCCCTCTTGTTGGCCTTGAGTAGGGACTTGGGTGGACTTCTCTTGTTGGCCTCAAGTAGGGGCTTGGTTGGACCCTACTTGTTGGCCTTGAGTACGGGCTTGGTTGGACCCTACTTGTTGGCCTTGAGTACGGGCTTGGTCGGACCTTTCTTGTCGGCCTCAAGCAGGGGCTTGGTTGGACCTTTCTTGTCGGCCTCAAGCAGGGGTTTGGATAGACCGGATCTCCACGCGATTAAGGCCTAAGCCTTCCCATCCTGCGAGCCAAGGGCACGGAGCCGCGCTCCGCTCCTCCTGTCACCGCGCGCTGCCCTCGGTGGCACGGAGACCGGCAGCGGGCGCCTCGGGGGCCGCCGCCGCCTGGAAGGGGGCTCCGGATGGGGCACCACGGTTGAGGTTCTGCATTTGTGGGCCCTGCTGGGGTTCTCCAGGTCCCCCCAAAGACACAAGGAGGTGGCCGTCCCCAACGATGCGGCCACCACACCACGGCGGGACCATCCCGTCCCTCCGCTAACCCTCTCGCCCTCCTTCGGTGTCTCCGCAGGCCTCGTGCAGATCCCGGTCAGCATGTACCAGACGGTGGTGACCAGCCTGGCGCAGGGCAACGGCCCCGTGCAGGTGGCCATGGCGCCCGTCACCACGCGGATAGCGGACAGCGCCGTCACCATGGACGGGCAGGCCGTGGAAGTGGTGACCTTGGAACAGTGACGCCGGCCGCGGCCCCCAGCACGGTGAATTTTTTCCTCTTCTGTTTTTGTTTTTTTTTTTTTAATTTTTTCTCCTCATTTTTTTTTTAATATTATTTTTCCTCGTCTCTTCTGCGAATGATTTTTTTTTTTATTATTGTTATTACGACGCCTCTCCAGAGACGCAATCAGGTGGCCCTGAGTCTCCCGGCCTCGGAAGCGGAGGTTTTTGTTAACCAGCCTCTTTTTTTTTTTTTTTTAAAGGATTAAAAAAAAAAACCCACAAAAAA